CAGCAACCTCAAACTCCTGGGCTCAAGCAATCCTACTGCCTCAGCCTCTCGAGTAGCTGGGACTTAAGGCATGTGCCACCAAGCCCAGCTAATTTTTTTCTATATATTTTTAGTTGGCCAATTAATTTCTTTCTATTTTTAGTAGAGATGGGGGTCTCACTCTTGCTCAGGCTGGTCTGGAACTCCTGAGCTCAAATGATCTGCCCGCCTCAGCCTCCCAGAGTACTAGGATTACAGGCGTGAGCCACCACGCGGCCAGAAACTATCTTTAGTTGATTATCTATGTGTGTGTGTCTTCTCCCTGGTGGTCACTTAGGAGTATGGGAGACATGAATAAATTATCTTGTTTTCTTGTTCTGATAATACCATATTGCAGACTTGAAATAACTTTCTAATCCCACTAATTGTTTTTAAAGAAATAACATGATTTTGATTTTGCAAATTTTATCACACCAAGTTCTCCACATTTGGGTACACCAAGATCTTACCATTGAAACCCTTCCTGGTGTTAAGCAGATGGATAATTTTGAAATATGTACGTATGGAATTAAGTTCTGTGACTATCCAAATACGCCAACCACTTCCATGGCATTTGGAATTATGCAATGGAAAATGTTTTCAGTGATGCCCTTTTATGTGTTAATTTTGCAAAATTTATTCTTGATTATAATTTCAAATCACCTGAGCAACAGAAGAAAATTCGAAGTTGTATCAAAACCAAGAACTTACTCAAATTTAGCATTAAGAAACCATTTTCAATTAATTACTTGGCATAAACTGAAGATAACCCATATTCAACAAGCAATTCTGGTTGACATTTCCCAAAACATGACATATTGAATATGTCATTTTTGTCCAATACCCCTTAAATTAAGGAAAAAATTAAAGAAGAGGGTATAAAATCATTTACTCCCATGTGACTGAGAAAACTTTAATTAGTTACACCTTTAAGGAAGAAATTTGCTTCTGTTAAACTTTGTTAAAATCTGCAATTTAAATGACCTTTAAATTTCAAGACTTTTTCATGACACAATTGTCCAATCTTCATATTAATGAAGGCGCCAGATATTTTAATTTCCTGCAGATTTGCCAAGTGTCTCTAGTTTGAAACAAGATTTAACTCTAAGGTGTGTCCCTTTAAAATAAAACAAAACCAAAAACTTTCTTTTACGTTGAAAGAATTTTTAAAAATATATTATGGCCGGGCGCGGTGGCTCATGTCTGTAATCCTAGCACTCTGTGAGGCCAAGGTGGGCAGATCCTTTGAGCTCAGGAGTTCATTACCAGCCTGAGCAAGAGCAAGACCCCATCTCTACTAAAAAAAAAAATAGAAAGAAATTAATTGGCCAACTAAAAATATATAAAAAATTAGCCGGGCGTGGTAGCGCATGCCTGTAGTTCCAGCTACTTGGGAGGCTGAGGCAGGAGGATCGCCTGAGCCCAGGAGTTTGAGGCTGCTGTGAGTGAGGTTGACGCCACGTCACTCTAGTCTGGGCAACAGAGTGAGACTCTTGTCTCAAAAAAATATATATATTATAGATAGATAGATAGATAGATAGATAGATAGATAGATAGATAGATAGATAGATAGCTAGCTAGATAGCTAGATAGCTAGCTAGCTAGCTAGCTAGATAGATAGATAGATAGATAGTCAGTCAGTCTATATTTGAAACACATAAAATATCTTCAAGTTTAAAATTTCTCTTCCATATTTACTTGGGGCAACATTGGCACCTCAATTTTCAATACTTAATCTCTTGCTTTACTTTTGAACATTGCATTTGTTTAAAATATACATTGTAAAAAATCACATTGCTCCTTAAAAAAAAAAAAAAAATCACATTGCCATTGAACTTAGGCCAAATGCTTTGAAAGAGTGAATTTAGGGGGACTGGAGGAATGAGATAAAACGCCTATAAACAGCCATTGGTGTATAGGATCTACTGTATAATAAAATGTTGTGTAATTCTGCCGTGCAATGTAAATAATGATAGTAATTTGCATTTTCTTATTACTATGCATCCCTGAATGGATTTTATAGCCTTTTGCCAATATTAAGGTCTATTTCTCACTTCATTACATCCCTAGGGGCCCTAGTATGACAGAGGGGCAATAAGCTGTCCCTCTGTTTTGCACACAGATCTTACAACAGGTACACACCCAATGCCTTTTTACCCTGCATTTTCATTCTCATAAACCCAAAAGCATTGTGGTCCAAGGCTGGATCAATGCCACACAGAGCCAGAATAATGTACCTACACTTTCACCACCATCTTTATGAACACCCTTCTGTCTTTCTTAATCATCTTTCTTAATCATGAGCTATTCTATCTCAGGACAATTATACTAGACTCAAGTAGGGAGAATAAGGAAAGATTCCAAAAGAAGAAATATTTTTAAAGTTTTACCAGCCTGGAGGGCCCATTACTCGTGTGCAAAATAATGTGATCGAGAAATTAACTAAGTTTATTTTTTTCTGGAGACTCAATACAAAAGACTAAGGGGGATTTTTTTTTCCCCAAGCAATTAAGCCTTAGAGTTCTGGGGTATTGGGCTTGCCTAGCCCAGGGGATCTTGACTGGCTAGGAACTTTGGGACTTGAAGTTGAATTGTCAAAACACCAGGCCCTAGAGGGGAGTAGGTGAGAGAGCTGTGTGTGAGACGAGCAGCCCAATTCCATGAAGAATTCCACAGTAGGGATGTGGACCAGCCTGAGGGTCAAGACAGTGGGATTGTGATACCCTGCATGGTATCCAGGGTTTAGCCACTGAAACGTGCCTATGAATTACCTGGAGACCTTGTTAAAAATGCAGATTTGGATTCAGGAGGTTTCAGGTGGGACCAGAGGCTGCATTTCTTTTTTTTTTTAAGACAGAGTCTCGATTTGTTGCCCAGGCTAGAGTGAGTGCCGTGGCGTCAGCCTAGCTCACAGCAACCTCAAACTCCTGGCTCAAGCAATCCTCCTGCCTCAGCCTCCCAAGTAGCTGGGACTACAGGCATTCGCCACCATGCCCGGCTAATTTTTTGTATATATTAGTTGGCCAATTAATTTCTTTCTATTTATAGTAGAGACGGGGTCTCGCTCTTGCTCAGGCTGGTTTCGAACTCCTGACCTCGAGCAATCCGCCCGCCTCGGCCTCCCAGAGAGCTAGGATTACAGGCGTGAGCCACCGCACCCGGTCTCAGAGGCTGCATTTCTAACAAGCTCCTATGTGGTCTGGATGCTGCTGGTCCCTGAACCTCACTCTGAGTAGCCAGAGTGTAGGTCACATCCTGTCTCTATATAGTTCTCTTGGAGGTGGGGATATAGTGAGGACTTTGAAAGAGGGGCACAGGGAAGTCTAAATGCCAAACTCTGTGGCATCAGGAACAATGACAAAAGTTCCAGGTGGCTAAACTGTACACTGAGGGAAAAAAACACTATAGCAAAAGAGCTACCAATCTTCAAACGGATCGTTCTAGCCTGTACAAAGAGCATCCATTCTACCAGACTCCATTAAAAAACTGAAGACCAAAGTCCTTTCTCCAAATTTCCTGGCCTATTTCCCCAACACCTCCTGGGCATCCTGAATGACCTTGAGAAAGAAAGAAACCCAATTGGCCTCAATCTCCAACAGAATGAATTTCCAAACTACCTTGGCTTGAGACAGCAACAGTGGAGGATCTTGCGCCAGATATATTTAATATAAAAAATTTTTAAATGTGAATTTTCTTGAGCTCATGTGTATGGAGCAAATTCATATGAGTTAACTTTTCCAATCTGGAAATTAGAGAGAGCCAGATTTTGGAAGTGATAAATAACCACTTATTAGTTATTCAATCACCAAATGGTAGGGGATGATGAATGAAGTCCCTAAACTCTAATATGTAGGATTTGAGGGCTTCTTACAAGAGAAGGAGGGAGAGGGAGGACCTCACAGTCAGTCTGCAATTTTGCCATGGTCATCGAAGACAATGGACCTTTCCCTTTATACACGTTCTTGAAGTTGCCCTTTGAGATTTTTCCCTCCTTCAAGTCCTCGCTCTTCATTTAAAAATGATTCCACCAGTATAAACACGTTCAGGAGAAAGACCCAGTTTGATTTTCTTCTGCCAGCATCTTCCAAAGATAGCCTCGAATCCCATTCTCTCAAAAGAACAAGTCTTAAAAATAAACTAAGGCAGTAAGTGCTGTGTCCAAAACCAAGTTTCTTCCAAAGCTGAGAGTAATAAAACCCGGGGCTCCCTTTCCCTAATCCAATTTTAAGAGCAAATGCCTTCTGTTGGCAATTTTGTTTCTAATTTATGATCCTGCCATCCCCAGGACTTGATGTTTTATTAGAGTATTTCCAAATCTGGTTGTGATTATACATGAAAAGTTTGTGCCTGTGTTCATCAATGTCACAATTCACACAGAGACACCAGCTTGTCTTGCCGGCAAATCTTCCAGAAGGGCTAAAATCCAGAAGGGCTAAAATCCAGGCAGAAGGTGAAGGTAAGAAGAAATTACTGCATCTTTTTTTCTGATCATCTGTCCTTGACAAATCAGATGACACACAAAGTGAACCATATAGTGTTTTCGCTTGGCCAGCAATTTGTTTTAAATTATTTGCCAACATGTAACACATAGGAATTTCATATAAATTCTAAATGTCTGGTTCCCTTGAAAAATCAGAAGATCTGGCAACATTTGACAGGTGTCCCTCGTGCCTGAATACTGGTGTGGTGGACATCTGTGATACTTTTGGCCGCCAGCCTGTGAACCCCTCTCCTCTATTCAGGAACGTCCCCAGTTCACAAGTCCTGGTGACAGGCAGATGTCATTTCCCACAATTTAAGGTACATACAAGATACTCACCAGCATGCAACCCAGGCTTGGCCAATTAAGGCATGTCTCCCAGACTTACAAATGGGGTGCTAATTTTAGGAAGAATGCACGACACAAGTGGTGAATACTCCCTGACACTGGAAGGCGAAAGCAACATCTAGTTTCTAAGCAGCAAAAGCAGAAGTTTCCTTACCTGTTGGGTTCGGTGGAGTAATTTTGACCATGGTTTCAGGTGCATGACCAGTCTTGGCCCCACTTTCCAAGCCAAATTGTCCTGTCTTCCTAGTGACAATGCGAGCTATCCAGTACCTCATTATACGCCTTTTCTGCTTTAACCTTAACTGTGCCCCCTTGAGGCAGGGCATTGTTTCCACTCAACCCTCTTCCTTCATAGATTAACTTCCAGGCTACTCAGAGGTAGGCGAGTTTGTAACTCTGGTCTCTATCTCTTTCTCTGTATAACAAGAATACTAGGAAGAAAGTAAAGATCACCTCGTACAAGAAGCAGCGAAGTCAGGAGAAAAAGCTTCACAGAAGCCCCACCCATCATTTCCGCTTAGGGCTAATTGGGCAGAAGGGGGTCACGTGTGCATCTCTTAAGCCAATCAGTAGCGAGGGGACTTGGATTGGCTTAGTCTAGCGGAGTAAGTAGTTCAGCTGAATTTTATTTTATTTTATTTTATTTTATTTTATTTTATTTTATTTTATTTATTTATTTATTTATTTTTTTGGAGACAGACTCTTGCTTTTTTGCCCAGGCTAGACTGAGTGCCCTGGCGTCAGCCTAGCTCACAGCAACCTCAGACTTCTGGGTCTCTGGGCTCAAGCAATCCTTCTGCCTCAGCCTCCCGAGTAGCTGGGACTACAGGCATGCGCCACCATGCCCGGCTAATTTTTTCTATATATATTAGTTGGCCAATTAATTTTCTTGCTATTTACAGTAGAGACGGAGGTCTTGCTCTTGCTCAGGCTGGTTTCGAACTCCTGACCTCGAGCAATCCGCCCGCCTCGGCCTCCCAGAGTGCTAGGATTACAGGCGTGAGCCACCGCACCCGGCCTCAGCTGAATTTTAGAATCACCTGGGAGGCTGTCTATGGTGCCATTGCAGGTTCCCATTCCCAGAGGCCAGACTTAATTGGTCTGGCCGGACTTGTGGCAATTGAATTCTTAAAGTGTCCCAGATGCTTTTAACGTCCAGCCAGTTCTGAAAATGATTCCTCCAGTCTAGTCCCCTCCCCTGCCCGTTTTACACATGTGAATACTGAGGTCCAAAGAGATGTTAAATAACTTGCCCAAAGGACTATACTTTCAATTAATATGAAAAACTGAAATAAACAAAACCACATACACACACAACATTTAATAGGACCACTTTGTTTTTCCAGAATATGCATGTAGTACTGTTAAATAAAATTTATGGGAGGCCACTGTTTTAGACTAAGCTCCTGCACTAGGCACCAATAGACCAGACCAAGCAGAATGGAGGCATCCATGCTAGGTGTCACATAATCAAACTGAACTTTAAAATGGGCCAGTTTAAGAAATAAATAAATAAAATAAAAGAAGATTTTTTGGGGCCCAGGGCCCAGTCAACCTGAGCAGAGGTGATAAGAAAGTCCCCTCTGCTTTAATCCTATAAGGAAAGTAACTTTGACATGGCCAATCCACTTTCTGTCCCTTGTTTCTGCTTTCTTCAGCTTTTTCTGCTTATAAAGTACATCTGTCTGCTCAGCTGATTGGACCACCCTTCTATTTTATAGGCGGGATACTGCCTGATTCATGAATTGCAAATAAAAGCCAACAAGATCATTAAACTCGATTTGGTGAAATTTGATTTTTGGACAGTCCTCGTTGTTTTTCTTAGAAAGAAAAGTCCTGGAGAGCTCAAGGACTGAGAAGCAATATAGTGTAGTGAAGTAGCTCTCAAACTTGGGCAAATCAGAATCCCTTGGAGGGCTTTTTACTACACAGATGGCTGGGCCCCACCAACCACAGTTTCAGATTTCATGGGTTTGGGGTGAGGGGAAGAATAATTAGGATTTCTAACAAGTTCCCAGGGGATGCTGCTGCTGTTGCTGCTGGTCTAGCATGAGCTGAAGAATCAGACTCTCTTGGTAAGATCCAGTATAATGTCACATGGAAGAATTCTCCGTTCCAAGCAAACTGATCGGCAGGTGCGCACAGAGTTTTATGAGAACTTGTTCAGATCTTGTTCTAATCTCCCAGCTCAAGGAGGTGGCGGCATCGTGCTTCTAAAACAAAGGGTCTTTGGCAGGATGGCTCCTACCGTGGTGGTAGAATAAAACCCAGGTGATAGCATAGTCCCACTAGCCAATCCTTTAGGTTTTGTTTGTAAAGGCAAAATTTGAAACCAGGACAGGATAAGTGAAGAACGTTAAAAGGGAAGGAAAAAGTAGGCTGGCGTTTTGCCAGATGCTTTGTATGTTATTTCATTTAATCCTCACAACCATCTTTGAGTAGCTATTATCAGAGAAGAGAGAGGCAGCCTGCCCAAGGCTAAGTGGGAAAAGTGGCCTGCTAATGATCTGAACACCAGCCTTAAAGGTGACCTGGGAAGGAAGCAGAGAATAGGGCATCTATTTGCCCCCACCCCTCGTCCTTTTGCTCCGTCCCTAAAGCAGGTGACCGCCACGTAATCAGGAGCAAGGGGTACAGCTGCCTCCGAATCAGATCACTGTTGTCCCCGGGCCAGCCTCCTTTCCTTCCAGGATTTTTGGCTTTCTCATCGTGTTAAAAAATAAATAAAATAAAAGACTTTGTTGGGGATGCTATACGCACTCGTGGCTGGAAAATACAGACCAGCAAAAAAGGAAGAAAATAAAGCTGATCCAGAATCCCCTCACCTCAGGGAAAAAAAACTCTTAAAATTTTGATGCCGCTTCTCCTCAGTATCTCAGATCACAGGGACGCTGTCGTTCGTGTTTATTAGTCAGCCCCTTCCCGTTACACGTATTAACCCAACTGAAAGGTTTTTGTGTTTGTTTTCTCCCCGGAGTCGTTTGCTGGGGGCTGGCTGTCTAAATTTTGTTGGGGTGAGGGACGCGGATTCGGCAGCTAGGCAGGTTGGAGTTGTCTTGTTTGGGGTTTATTTATTTTTTTTTACTTCCACATATTCGCCTCCCAGCTTTGGAGCTGAAGGTTTTTGCATATAGGCATCTATATTCAAGAACCGGCCGTGTCACTTGGGGTTGTTTTTCGCTTAGGATTCTTTTTAGCCCTGGCAGCTTTCCGTTCTTTGAACGTTAAGTGTTTGAACCCGGCGACATCTGGAATTGGCTTTGGCGGCGAGCGTACCGGTGGCCGGCTGCTGCAGCGGTGGCCTCGCCTCGCCCGCTCTCCCTCTCGGGACGCCCCCTCGGTGGCAGGGAGGGCGCAGAGCAGGCTGGAGGGGAGGAGCCGGAGGGAGGCCGGCGGCCCGCGCCTCCCGGTAACCTAGCAACCGGCGCCATAGCAACGCAGAAGGGGGCGGGACCGAAGGAGGAAGTCGGAAGCAGGCGGCCACGTCTCGCGAGAGTTGCTTTTGGGCGCGAACTCTAAGTGTGAGCGTCCTGGGGGGTCAGGTCGCCGCTGCGACGGCCACAGAGGACCCGGTTGCCTTCGTCTCCTCGCGATGGAGACCTCAGCGCTCAAGCAGCAGCCTGCAGCCGCCAAGATCAGGAACCTGCCCTGGTAGGAGGCCCGCGGCCGCGCGGGCAGGCTGTGGACCGAGTGGGCAGCTGGCGGACCCCAGCCCCGTCTCGCCCTGTCGCCCCGGCGCCTGCGGCCTGGGCCGAGCCGCGGAGGTTTTCCCCGACACCCCCAGCTCCCCAGTCCCCCGGACTTTCGCCGGTGCTCACCCATTCCCCCCATTCCGTTTGCGGAGAAAGAAAGCGGGCTTTTGTACCTGGGTGGCAGCACGGGGTTCGATCCCGCGTCTTCTGACATCTTGCTTGCCAAAGTGTCCTTTTCCCTCTCGTCAGAATCTTCGATGCAAATAACAATAACAATTCCTGGTTAACTTTTACTGAATGGCTTTCCGTTAAATTAGTAGACACCATGTTAGATGTTTGATCCTGACGGACTCCAAGAGATAGGCACTGCGCCATTATTCGCATTTTCACGTGAGGAAACTGCATCTTAGGAAAGTTAAATGACTTGCCTAAGGCCCAGGACTAGAAAATAGGCTTGGATTTGAACCCAGGTAGTTTGTATTCAGAACTCGTATTTTCAGCCATCCTGCTTCAACAACCGTGTCCTAGTGATGCTTAAAGACTGATGAGATTTGGCTTGATTTAGAACAACTCCAAGTTGTTCTTGTCTAATAACGAGTTCAGTTTATTTTTATTGTGAAAAACAAAATGCATGAAATTTGCAGTTGTAACCATTTTAAAGTGTACAATTCAGTGGCATTAAGTACATTCAGAATTTTGGCAATCATCCCACTGTTTAGTTCCAAAATTTCATCACCCCAAATGGAAACCCCATGCCCACTGACAGCCACTCTCCATTCTCCCCTCCCCCATCTCCTGGCAACCACCTTCCTCTTAATCAGCATATGAAAGGACTCTTTTGCACCTAACAAAATATTCTCTCATTTATATATATTGTAATATTTAATACATACTAAATTGTATTTCAGGGTTGAAAAATACCGGCCGCAGACACTAAACGATCCCATTTCTCATCAGGACATTCTGAGTACCAGTGAGTGTCCATGTGGCAGTTGTTCTTATCCCAGAAGAAGGACCTGTGTAAATTTCTTGGTGCTGTTGTCTCTGCTAAGTGATAACTTTGAAGAATGTGTTTGGGCTTTATAGAATGTAGCTTTAAGATTTTTCATTCCTTTTCTTTTTTTTTTTTTTCATTCCTTTTCTTTAGGTAGCTATAGTCTAGTGGGTAACTCATAAACAAGAGCATAAAAATAGCATTACAGATGACACCAGCACCCAAAAAGGTGCCTGTAACACAAGCAGCACTCAATAAATATTTGTTGACTGGCTGCACAATGGAATGAATGCCACTTGTAGTAGGAACACAGAGACCAGGCACCTACCTCAAGCTACATCTGCCTCTGATTTGGACGTTGAATTGGGTTGAAGTGCATTCATCGGGGGTGGTGAATGAGGCAGCTCCCAAAGACTGATGGTGTCCCTCTTCCTTCCCGATCCTCAGTTCAGAAATTTATCAGTGAAGACCGACTGCCACACCTGCTTCTCTATGGTCCTCCAGGGACAGGAAAGACATCCACCATCCTCGCCTGTGCTAAACAGCTATACAAAGAGAAGGAATTTGGCTCCATGGTCTTAGAGGTAAATAGGATTGTTCTTACTCTACCAACAACTGAGGACTCCTGTCTCTCAACTTTGGTTCTGCGAGTTTTATTTTAAGGTGCCCACTGGTAGTTGGGGAAGAAGTAAATTTGGAATAAGATATTTCAATTTACTTTTTTTCTATAATGGTCATTTTGGTCTGGATTGGCATTTGTCAGCTAGAGGGCAGTTGTAGGGCTAGATAGGTCTCTTTGCCGTTGTACCCAAACCCTACTTTATGGTCATTCAGTTGCTGCCTGTC